GTGTGATGCTCAGGGGGGCGGGGTCTTGGGGGGGCGGGGGCTGGCGCGGTGCAGCGCTTGGAGGGGGGGGCGGGGGCTTCGGGCAGTGCGACACTTGGAGGGGCGGGGCTTCGGGTTGCGTGGTGCTGGGGGGGCGGGGATTTCGGCGGCGCTCGCGGGGGGGGTTATGGCGGGGCAGCGCTCTTCTTTTTTGCCTGGGGCAGCAAAAAAGTTAGAGCCGGCCCTGTGTAGAGGAATAGTATAGTCTGGGGGAATCGTGTAAATTACAGTACGAATGGAGAGGTACTTAAAGGAAAGCTGGAAGGTAGCCTGCAGAATCAGCTGCTGGTGATGGCAAACATATCCTTGCCTCAGAAATGCTGAGATCAGCTCCAGACCAGAAATGTGGTCATCCAAAACAGGCCAAATGGTAAGAGACAGACTTGGTTAAAACTAGTTAATCATTCTACATATGGTACCAAGTACTGGCAATAAGATACCTTGCCCAAAAGACCGCTGAGCACTCAAGTCAGCCACAAATGAACCTACAGCCCTTGAAGGCAGGAGTTCTTGGATGCTGCTTCACTGTCGCTAAACAATCGCATCTAACAGGGTTGGTGTTTTTCAGGTACAGAATAATCACCACAAAGAGAAGAATCTGGGTGGCTCTTGGAATTTGCTGGTTGTTGTCCTTGCTGACAGGATTTGTCCCCATGTTCGGATGGAATAAAAGGATTGACCCAAAAATGCCCAGTGAATTCAAGTGTAAATTCACCTCTGTGATGAGCATGGACTACATGGTGTATTTCAACTTCTTCGCCTGGATCCTCATCCCTCTGATCCTCATGTGTGCTCTGTACATCGAGATCTTCTACATTATCCGGACAAAGCTAAGTCAAAGTGCAACAAACACGAATGCAGGAGTGTTTTACGGGAAGGAGTTCAAGGCGGCCAAATCTTTGGCCCTCGTCCTCTTCTTGTTTGCGATTTGTTGGCTGCCTTTGTCCATTCTAAACTGTATTGGCCGTTTCTGTCTCAACTGTCAAATCCCGTCGCATCTGTTGTACGTGAGCATTCTGCTGTCTCACTCCAATTCGGTCATGAATCCCGTTGTCTATGCTTGCAAGATAAAGAAGTTCAAAGACACTTATACTCTTATTTTAAGAACCCATGTCCTGCGCATGAGTCCAAAGCTGGTCAGTTCTAGCATGGAGCAAACATCAGAGTGCGACCCAGTGACTCCTTGATGCCAACTGGCAGAGGGTCCAGGGGGCACGCATAGGATTTTACAGGGATTCCCTGGGTCACATATATGCATAATAATTCACCAAATGATGGCAAGTGAGGTCTCTACCGAGAGACAGTAGCCCACTGCTCATCATAACCATTGCAATATGTATGGATGGATAATATTTAATGAGTTATGTATCTATATTGAAAATAATGTTCTTAAGGTCTTTGAGTCAAAGCATGTCACATACCTTGGTAATGTTCTTTTCAGACAAGTGGTAATATCTCCGTCTGGTCATTTGTGTAGTGTGTAGTGCGTATCTCACAATGTATGCCTATTTGCATATTGAGCCAGGTGCTAATTAAGGCTTGGTCTACACTACCCCCCTAATTCGAACTAAGGTACGCAACTTCAGCTACGTGAATAACGTAGCTGAA